TTTGCGCCTGGAAGCTTGGGAAAGTCAGGACTCTTTCACAAAATGACCCCATATGTAACATGGCCGAATGGTGACACCACATAAATTATGAACGTCGTGCTTCTGCGCAAAGACCGCAGCTCAGCCAAGTGACGCCTACGTTCAGACCAAGACGCTCCAGCGACGCGTAGCGCCTCAGCATTGTGCGCGTGCATGCTCAGACTTCACGAGTTGGGGGGCGATCTGGCCAGGGCCCTCTTGGCTTGGTGACTTGGTATGTGATTGAGATGCCAGTCCTAATCATGCGCGGAGTTCGCAACTTGCTTATGGCTGTCTCCTGGATGCTCTTCTTGGAGAAAACTAAAAATCCTCTCCCACCTGTATAAGACCGGCGACAGCACAGCAATCTGGGCTGCACGCTGTGCTGGATCCATCTCATCCAAGGCCTTCTGGAAACCAGCCTCGTGTCTCCCAAGCTGGTATGGGGGCGGGGCAGGTTACCGCCTGGAACGCCACGAGGACTGAAAAGGAGCTCAAACTGCCTTTAGCTGCTGGAGAATGGAAAGACATTTGCTTTAATCCTTTTGGCTATGCTAGCTAAGTGCGCATAGAAACCTATGAAGCACACGCCGGCGCAGACTTTTCCTTGGTCTTTAACAGGCTAGGCGAGGATGGCTATCAGGATACCTATGAAGCACACGCCGGCGCAGACTTTTCCTTGGTCTTTAACAGGCTAGGCGAGGATGGCTATCAGGATACCCTTGGCCGCATCCAGTGGCTGCAGTGTACATATTCTACCTGATGATGCCGCTATTTCTAGCCATTGCTTGGCTATTGCCAGGTTTGCTTGAAAAGAAAGGTGTCGCCTTGACGTTGTAAACCACTACGGTGGGTACTTCCTCACCTTAAACCTCGAGCTGAAGCCCGCTGCAAAATTTCCATCTCCTGCCCGCTTGTACACCTCCGAGCCCATAGTAGGACCAACCATGTCACACAGAAGGCACAACGAGGGAGGCCCCAAATGACCGGAACAAATTTGACCAAGAAGCTGGATCCTTGGGCAGTTCGATGGACGATCTGAGGCCGGGGTTTGAGCGAAGTTCTGCAGATGGGTGCTGCGGTCCCTGCATATGTGCTACATAACAGTTATAACATGTCTTTCCTACAAGCAGAAATACCAGCAACGAGCCCGTAATCTTGGCGTCCCCCGGTTGTCCTACCTTCCGCAGGGGCATGCAGCTACAATCTGAAGATTTCTTGGAGGGAGGCGTCATGATTTAGAAAATGTGGTCGGTTTTCGTGCGCAGACACAGCAACAGCCAGAGTATGTAAATTTCGTGGCTCCAAAGTCCTATGCTGCATCCTGAGACCCTTCACTCATGCTTAGCAAACAAGCGACTTCACTGCAGAGGCAAGGATTGACACCAACAGCATGCGGACCATGCGGCAATTTGGAAGGTCTAGCTGCGAGTCAAGACTTTGGTGGTACGTGGTTTTGACCTGCACTGCTTCAACATGCAGCTGGGATGGCGAGCACAGTTCAGTTCTTTCTGTATCTGCATGCTTCGTTTGTGGGCTACAAGGATTGTTGTCACGATTATCTTTCTTTACCTCTGTATTGCGTACCGATTTGACTGCTTGCTTGGAGCAGCTATGTCGAAGAAGGGGCAAGCCGAAAGAGGCAGCGATCCATGAAATTGGGGTGCAGCACAAGTCCCGTACTACAGGCTACAGACATGTTTGCGTGTACGGTGCAACCTTGGGACTTGCCTACGCTTAGAGTTTCTACGCTGGCTCATGGCGCAATGTCTCTGCAGTGAACTGTCTGGTCCTCGGACTCCTGTGTTACGAAATGTCTCTGGACTCGTATCCGCTTTCACCTACGCATTGCCGAAAGAGGGTTAGAAGAACAACGCTTGCAACCCAACTCCAAGACTATACGCCCTCATCACACGCGCCAAGACTCCTTTGCTATAGATCCTCTAGGCCCCCTAGGCTCTTTCGAATGAATCCCCAACAGCACAAGACAAAGCGCTTCACCAGCCCACTGGCTTGGATCCCTGCATCGTGCCCGCCAGTGCGTGGAAGTACGTGACTGTCTCATCAATCTCGGTGCCAGCAGATAATAGGTTAATGTCAACATGGTGGCTGCGAGTCCAAGTCGGCGGCTACATAGTGCTTGGGGTCAAATTCCTAATCATCCAAATGCAGGCAGAACAAACCTTCGTGGCCAGCGATGTCCCAAACACGCGCACCAATTGCCCAATGCTCCGTAGAAGGGTCGCCGTTCTAAGTGATGTGGTCAAGGGGGTGAGGAGGTGACCAAAAATCGTGACGCTTCTCGCGTCCGCAAGCATGTGTGAAGCTTTTGTGGGGCGTTCGTGTCGCGTTCCAGCTGCGGGTCTGGAAACCCCCCAACAGTCGACATGCTCGCAGCATGCTTGAAAGACAAAAAATGAACAGTCACAGGCATAGGGCCCCTGGGTCGCTATCCTCGTACCTCGCTTTTGGACCTCTTTTCTTCGTTGCGTGTCAAATGTGTCAGCGGTCACAGGGAGATGGGGCTCCTGGGTGCCACGATCGTAGCTGTTGTTGCTCTTGGACCTTTGTGTCGCGTGTTTTGCGTAACGTGTCGTGTGTGAACCGCGCATGTCGTCTACGCGATTTGCGCGTAGAGGAGCGGCATTCGGGTTCGTGGACCCCCATCAGGTTCTGGATGTGGGTGAAAATGGCTTCCAGGCATATCGCTCCAAAGAGGGGCCCCCAAGATATTGACTTGAGTCAAACTCCCAGCTACGACCCGCAGTACTGGAAATCTCAGTGAGCCTCTTCCGCACTTTGAGAGGCAGTTGCTGACCATCCGGCATAAAGTAAATGTCTAACTGCTTGGCTGTTTACCGACTCCATGTAAAGGATGGCATCAGTTGTAGCTGTAGCCATCATAACAGTAGTATTCAACCTTGTAGGCTTGACCAACTGTTTCACTTCCTGCTCAGAACCTCTAGGGTAAGGTCAGCAGTAGCGTCGGGGTGCAAAAAGTTATCCAAAGCCCCCAAAGCCCCCAAACCAACAGCAAAAGAAGAGGCCCTGGCATACTTCAACTCACGCGCGAAGCGCTGACGCTGAGGATCGGCGGACCAAGCCTGCAAGACGAGGGTAGGAGGCGGCACTTGCAAAACTGAGTGTCTTTCTCTGGACTGGTACGCAAGCACAATGTAGGGCTGCAGTTGAGGTTGAAGAGCGGGCCCCCAGAGAATCTACGGGGTTTTGGGATTTGGTGCCTGTGTAGGCTTCTTATGTGGGATCCGTACAGTACCGCTCTTGACATGGATTGGGAGTTGCGAGACGAATCTATGTTACAGGGATGGTCAAGACAGTGACGATCTGCCGGAGGCTCTTGCAGAATTAGGCTGCGGTGATCACCATTGTAGTGGTGCGCGTGCCAGCAGTACCCATCAGCAACGGTCCCGAAGGCTTTGAGAATCAAACATGAGCTGTGCTTGTTTTGAGTAACCAAGTTATAAGAAGCCAAGTTAGAAGATAATCGTCATACTCCAGAAGTTATCCTGGACCCACATGACACCTGTCTCAAGATCAGGACTCCTCTAGGCTACTTAGGCCTCAGGAACTCACAAGGGTAACATAAAATATACTAGTGTCAGAAATGACCGCCAAAAGGGCCCAAGATCTTCAGAACTCCGTGTTTGCTGATCATCCCGTTGGAGCGCCTCCTTTAACGGATCCAGCTTCCTGCAGTCAGGATTGCTTTGATTGCGGATACCAGGGAAATTGTGGGCAGCGTCCAAGTCATGGGCCTGGTTGCTCACGGCAGATGGGATCAAGTTGAGTGGGGTCCCCGTGCTCAGGATCAAGCCAAGACGCATGGCCAGACATGTAGGACAAAATGACTCTCCAAAACATGACCGAGCTCGCACGAAAAGAGTCCCTGATCCTCATGTCCTTCCGGAAATTACTGAACAGGTGACTCCAGCATGAAGGCATGTTCTCCTGTGAAAACCTAGAAACTCCATAAGGGCCACTTCTGAGTTTCGTAAATGGAGAGATCTGGAAATTGCAGGCGATGACAAATACATGCCCTGACTTCAAAACACGTCTGCTACTTGAGGTCGTAGAAGACTTTCTCAATCAGTGAACTCCACATTTAACAAAAATGCGAAACCCTAATCAAGCCAAGGATAGGCGACCTTCGCGCATCCATGCTTGAGCCACCACCATCTGCGCCTGCCTGCCTGGCAGCAGTTGTTTGATCGTGTGTCGAGTCGTAGGGGTGTTGAGGTTCAGGGTTTGGGGATTTTGAACCGTCTGGCAGTTGGGCAACCGTATGTCCTGAAAGCCAAACTATTTTTTTACGACACCGAACACTTGCACGAAACACTAAATCTGACAGCCCTGAGTAAACTCGGAAAACACATTCACTGCCCTTTGCGTGCCCTTCAGCTTTGAGGGCTTTTGCAACGCAGTCGGTTGCTTCAGTTAGTCCTGGATGTGCTCTGCACAAGGGAATAACATAAAGTTGTTACCTCACCGACACCCACCCCAGCACAAGTTGCTGAAGCGACTGGCCGGGAGATATCAGAGAACTCTTGAAAGTCGGACTGACATCCTCTACTTCTTTCGTGAGACGCATGATGCAACCCCCCTTGGGAAGCATCACTGGGCACCATCTGCTGTTTGACTACAGCCTGTCTGAAGAGTAAATCCGATTTCGTATTCGATAAGTCAACCCCACGTTTCGTTCGCCTTTCAGCTGTTGGCACCCTGAGTGGACCCACCCCATCGGTCGGCCAAAAAGCGGCTCACAAGAATCCCATGGCCAAAGTCTTAACTATGTGTGAACGTATATGCACACAATGCATATACACTTATGCAAGTTAATATATAAGTATATGTACATCCATGTAGGTTGAATGTGGGGTGGGCGCACGCAAAAAACCTCATGGGCTTGGGCTGCGGCTATTCAGTCCGGGCCTGATTTGACTCACAAGTCTCGCAAGGCTCCCTCAGGCAGCGGTGTTAACCTCAGTCATGCACCTCTGGTGCCCCAAAAACATGCATCCTGCGTGGAGTCTACGATCTAGGAGCCTACCTACTGAACTGTGCCCTGCTAGGCCCATTTGCCATTTCCTGCTCCAGCACTCCTGAGAGTGCTCAGGCCTCCGCTACACCAACGCGCTGGGAGCACAAAAGTTCTCCGCAAAAGGGCCCATGTCCAAATTCCTAGAGTCTTCGCTTCAAAATTGAGATTTCACCGCCACACCTCATCATAGTGCCACGGAACTGTTGAGGCACACGGCCCTAAACCCTGAACCTCCACAAAGCTGCTGGGTAACAGGGTCTCTGCACTCCTGAAAGGTGGAGGGCGTGCTGGCATCTCGAACCTCGCGTACCTGAGGCTTCCCTTGGCCGACACCAAGAACCTGCCAGGTTTGGACTTGCCCAGACCTCCCAGATACTCATAAACTTAAGATCATAGGCATACAATTTACAAGCCATTGTGTTAGGGTATGTGAGAGGTCTAGGTTGGTTGGGCATGAAGCCTGAAGCAGGCGGGAGGAGTTCAAAAAGAAGCATACAGGGATCACTAATGCAAAGGGGCAATGCAACCCATTACCAAGCGTGGAAGTCCAATGGTCTCTTATCTGCTGCTCAAAAATTACCCGACGTTTACTCCAATAAAATGTATTATGATGCAGTGCCATAATCAGCTTCAAGAAGTACAGCCTTATAGTTGCTTTGCCCACCTGCACACCGAAGAGGACGTTCCAAGCACCCGTCGCCAACAGCAGCCCAATGGTGCCCAAGGGAACCTCATGAATAGACCCCACTAAAAGTTCTACTTCCGTGCTGGCCAGTAATGAAATCTCAACGTTTACTGGCACGTGGGAGCTGACATGAATGCTTCAAGGGCTGTACAGGACTGTATAGGGTTCACTATATCGGGAGATCTCATGATCTTGATGTCCAAAGTACGGTCACGTAGGAGTTCTACAAAACTTGCATGCATTGCAGTTTGTGCCAAAAAGTTAAAATAGACATATGCAGGAATAGCCTTATGCCGAGGACTTGTATCATGAAGGGCGCGTTACAACTATTTTCCCCTTGTATACTTAGAATGGTAGCTTTTGTTCATCGGGAGCCGTGATCTCGGTTGCAAAGCACGCATTGCCGAGACATTTTTACTGCGGGCCTGAAAGTATTATTCTTCCTTTGACCCATAACCCGTCCACTTCTCCAAAAAAAATTGAAGCTGCCACTGGTAAGGAAGTGGCCTCATCCGAAGACCATTAAACATGAACAGCGCATGCTTGGTGACAGGATTTGTTCAGATGCGCACAGGTCAGTATCTTAGTGCAACTCTCATCAAGGGCTGCCTAAAGGATCTGAAGCCCACCATGCCTGAAATCCAGTTTCGCTCCCGAGGTACTCCAAAACAACTTCAACATCATTCAAGTGAACCACTCCAGAAGCTATGTAGCATGCCTATACATGCAAGATCGAGCTGCCACGTTGATCTGCATGGTCAGGCAGTCCTCTTGGACAGCCTCCTGAGCAACCTCAGAACACACAAATTCTCGTTCTGCCTGCCCGAAATCTTGGCGGAAAGGTTCAACATGCATTTGTAGCCAATGTATACATACACGTACAGACATAAATAGATCAATGAATATTCGTGTATATTATAAATATATATTCTTACATGGGCTGTGCGAACAGCCGTGATGCTCCACTTGGCACAAAGCGCCTCATGCAGCCTAAAGTTCCGAAGTTGAATCCCACTCCCTGCATCCGATCCCCAGAACCTTTTCAGGCAATCGTTTACCCCATCCTGGTATGATCGCATCCAGGCACCTCGCAGACGGCCGGGGCCAGGCCGCGGATGGCGGAGGAGGCGAAACCGTTCACGCCCTCGATGAAGGTGACCAAGTAGCCGATGGCAAAGAGGTCCTACGAAAGTGTGATGTTCATAGGCCTACCAGGGTTAAGAGGGATCAAGGTGTTGCGGCCTTTTGGGGTTTCAGTTCATAGTTTAGGTGGTCTGCCAAAGCAGCGGAAATTAAGGGAGCACATCAAAAACATTCCATTGTACTTGGGAAGTGCAGCGAGATGCCTGGATGTGTGCACCCCTGCAGGGAGGAGTACCAGGGCCTTGCCCCAAGCCCGCCCAGGTTCAGTCTGATCGGCACCAGCGAGGTCCGGACAGCGACGCTCTAACGGTGCCTTGAGGCACCAAACCATACTGATCCTCTGGCTTGAGGAGCTATCCTTTTCGCTCTCTCTCTCGCTCTCCCTCTATACTGGCCCCTCTTAAAAGACTGTTCCATCTCCTGTGCCCCCTCCGACTCGTCGCAGAATCCCAGAATCATGCCGGGGCCACACTCTCTATACAAAACCTTCCAGCATCCTTGCTCGTTGCAAATCCCAAGGTCCAGCAAGCAGAAAGTTGCCGCAAAGCCGGCCAAGCTTCGCGCCACGCCTGGCACCTGAGCCGCCATAGCAAAGTGTTTCCTCTTTGGGGAAGAAGGCTCACAACCAACCTAGGAGCCCATACTCACACTGACACTCTACCTAGACCCTCCTCCTACCCTCTATTAGGGCCTAAGTACCCACTATTAAGGACCATATATCCCCAATTAAGGGCACAAGGAGGGTCCTGGTATGGGCTGCTTTTGTTGTTGCACGCGCTTTTCCGGCTGTTTACATGGTACGACAACACGAGTCTATGCAATTCCATAGGAAGTAGACTTATTGGTTGAACTTACAGAGCAATTTCGCTGAAAGGATTGGGTACCTCTCAAAACTGTGAACCAATTTTGCGCAAACCTCAAAAATGCCTGAAGTAGTAGGACCCTATTGGGATTTGACCAGCCAAGCAGACTTCTGAGAAACCTTTTGACTGAGTCCCATTGCCTGTCCGGAGAGACCCAGCAAGAAGGCGACAATGTGCAGGATGGGGCAGCCGACAGCGGTGCAGAGAAACATGACCCTCAGACGCCTGGGCATTTGGGAGCTAAAGAAGCTTGAGAATCTAGAAAAATCAAAAAAATCCGCGTAGCCATTACCCTGTAATAGCGTGACTCATAATTGTCAGAAACTCCCGCTTAGGCTTGATGGCTCCAAACCCTGACATGTTTGGACTTTTTTGGAAGGTGATTCACATGTTGCATTTTCAGAGGTTTGTTAATCAACTCTTGACAGAACGGCAGAGTTGTTCGGCAGCTCTCACTGAGCCGGTGCTCGTCCAGCAGTAAAAAACAAGCAAAATCCCATACCAGGAAGGGCACAATCGTCTCCTTGTTGTCTTTCACACGGCTTGCCATGTATTATGCAACACTCCGATGGTGAGGTCGGGTGAGGTGGCTTTAAATTGCCCAGAGCTGAAACACTAAACCTTCAACCTTAAATCTGATAGGCTGAGGCGCACATCGGTTGCACCCAAGCTTTCGGCACTGAATCTCGATGGATCAATAAGTGCTCCTGCAAGTCCCCCGGTGACAGTCTCCATGAAGTCGCAAAAGAACCTTGTAAAACTTGCAGCTTATAAGGTTTCAGCTTCAGGGCTGGGATCACAAAGCACGTTGCTTGACTGCGCCTTGTCGGCTTGCCAAGGTGGACGACATCTAGATACTCTGGTGTCGTCGGGATTGGCTCAGGATTGACTCAGGATGTAGCTTTGTCTGACATGCGCTCAGGACGGTAACTCACTTACATGTACCCCGAAGTTACGATGATTAGATGATCTAAATGGCATCCTATGTGAGCTGCCTGAAACAACTTGCTTTAGCCAACTTCAGACGACTAAGGCACCGCCTCTTCAGGATCTACTGCATAATATATAGGCTAAAACCTTGATTGGACACAGACAGGCAACAACCAGAATCAGGAAGTTTGGGCAAGCTCGGGGACCACCACCGCCCCCAGAACCACCCCGCGCATGACCCTCCCCCCCCACACACTCCCAAACCTCCAGGCCCTTGAACATGAGCAAGTCCCAGGGACCACATGCAGATGCCTGCCACCATGGCCGCACTTGCCAAGCCCTGCATGACGGTCACCTGCACCGGTGCTTTGCCCGCAGCCCAATCCTTCTCCTGCAGGCTGCCAAGCTTGGGGCTTCCGAGATGGGGAATGGTCAACGGCTAGGGTGTGGTGCACAGGCGATGCGGGGCTCGTGGGATTTTCGCTCTGGATTTAAGGCTCTCTAGTAGTCTTCAGAAAAATGCAAATGGCAAGAACGGAGTTGGCATGGGGATCAACAAGAATCTGCTTAATTTTCAAAAACGCACTGATCACTGAAAAATGTGTGTGCGCGCCATGGTGACCAAGAAAACTTGGCGGCTGCAACAGCCACATGCCTGAACCTTCTTGTACAGATAAGGCCGGCTCCTTGATGGGGCGCGGCAGCAGCTTCAAGAGAAGAAGGTTGGCACACAGCGTGCTGACGGTCGAGAACCTTGGATCTATTGATGGCGCTAGCCGGAATTCGGGGAAGTGGGTCTAAGTGACAAGGATGCGTGAAAGAAGGTCTTCGTACTTGAGGGAGAAACCTCGATCTTACTGTCGATGCGGGGAAAAGGGACCACATCCGTTTTTCAGCTCGAACTCTGCCACTTCATGTGGATAACGATAAGCCAAGAAAACTACATTCGCTGCTGACGAGTTGGGGGGAGGTCAATGACCATGGAACGCGGGAGCGGCGTATGGCGGGCTTCAAGTCTTTGTATGCTGCAAACCGTGCCGCGAGATATACATTATCATATTGCTGGACAATCTACTTTGCTTTCGCAACAGCAGAAGTACCGGAAGCGGGAAGCAACCTTGCGAGGGCATGTCACTGTGGAATCCAGGAGTCAAATAAGATGGAGAAAGCTCCTGCCGCCTCTCAATCCCAAAGCAATCGGGCGTTCTCATGTTGTGAACTGCCAAATGGATCCTCCATCCTGAGCCCTACAACCCGAGACCACTGTGGATTCCCTCTAAACCCCACGCCCTACAGATTCAACATGACATGGGGTTCCCTACCTCGCTGAAAGTCCTATTCTAGGCCCCGCCTAGTATGACCACTACACAGCTATCATACGAGCTATAGTCTAAACTCCTAGTATCCCCCTTGCTAACCGCTATAATACTCCCCAAGACAAGCCCATTCAAGAAGTTTAGACCCCTTTTGCAACAGGCTTGCATCGACGACGCCTGGAAGTCCTGAACCCTATACCCTAACCCCTAAACTTAGCGAGGGCCCGAGAGAGCGAGCAAGTAGTGTAACACTACAACAGCAATCATGTAGGTCTCAGAAAGCATCCAAAGAGCCAGGAGCAGTAGGCTCCAGCCTGCAGGCCCAGTCCCAGGGTCTGCTTCATGCCCAAGGGCATCAGTACCTGGCGATTTGGGGTAACAGAAACGGACCCCCGGTCTGAAGGCACAGTATCTAAAATCTTTTAAGCAAGAATACAAAGTAAAGTGGGATTCTGGATGTGATTCTGGATGTGATTCAGTGGTTGAGGATGTACTGAACATGCCCAGCCAACCAGTCGCAAACATCGAATCGGCGATCGAATCGAGCTTGGCCGTTGTTGTAGTAGCCCTCCCATCTCCCACCTCCCGCCCTCCGACCTCCGGGAGGGTGGTGGCGGGTGCGGTAAGGTGGTGGGGGTGGGGGTATGCAGGGTGGGAGGGTGGGAGATGATAGGGTTGGAGGGGAAGGGTGGGAGGTGGGGTTGGGTGGGAGGCGGGAGAGTGGCAGTGGGCGGTGGGCGGTGAGTGGTGGGGAGGTGGGAGGTGGTTGGGAGGGCGGGGGGTAGGAGGTTGGGAGGTGGGAGGGTGGGAGATGGGAGGTGGGAGGTGGGAATTCGGAGGATCGCAGTAGGAAATGATTCACTCATGGCATGCTGAATGAACAATGCCCGCGTCCTGACTTCCTTAACCCTCAGCCTAGGCACGTCGTTGCTCAAGGCCATGGCCGTATTGCCAGTGGTCTCCATTTCCTGCGCTTCTCAAAATTCAGCAACCAAGGCGTGTTGCTTCAGCGTGCTACAGATCCGGGATTGGCATGGTGTCTGTTGAGCCCTTGGACATGCAGTGGCACATGTAAGTAGTAGTTGACTTGGCTTTACCTTGATTCTGCTGGGCTTCACTATCACGCATCCCCGCGACATTTGGAGTAATTACACCTCCTGCAGACCCTCATCTTCGCATGCTCCACCGCAAATACTGTAAAGCGTCATTCCGCACACGTACATGAACTCTCATCTGCCCACCTGCGAACTATCCGTATACCCCCCAGAAACCCGTGCATGTATCCCTAATCCACGTATCCCTGCAATTCACGTAGTTGCCATGGGTCATCATCCCTCCAGACTGACGCTGAGCTGTAGTCCCTACCCACAATGGTAAATCAAGGACCACACAAACAACTGACTGCAATGACAATGTGATCTGTTTAAAAATTCTGGTGCAACTACAACTGCAGTTCAATGTGTAATTGCCAGATCAAGCAAGCTGCAGACTTTCAGCGGACACTAGACACCTCAACACCTCCAACACTCAGGCTTCAGAAAAGGACAGCTTGAACTTACGCCTTTGTGCTGGGTACCTATAACTCTACTTATAATCTTGAACTGCTTTTACAAGATTTAGTTTACAGCCCAAGGCTCAGAAAGTGGGAAGCGGCCAAGCACCAGGGCGATGAGAAGAAGCTTCCGGCGGTGCTGTGCTAGGAAAGGCGTCAACCACACCATCGCCTGTTCTTCCAACATTTGCGTATTCCGTACCATTGTTGCGAGGTTCATAGAGGCTAGAACTTGTCTCGATAAAGCTTATGGTGGTGCTTTCTTGAGGTCCCGGCTTAGCCTCTGGAAGCCCAAACTTTTTCAGTAGATCCCTGAGCTCTACACTCAAAGCGGCCGAGGGGCCATGATGACATGGCAGGAGAGGGACGACACCAAGGACATGAAGAACCAAAGGACCTGGATGGAGTAGGGTCAAAGGGCTTGGTTTTTCGGGATTTAGTGGAAAGGCTTTGGTGGCATTTGAGCTATATATGCTTTGATGCTTCAGGATGTTGGAATTCCGGTGGAAGGTCGCCAGGTCCCATAGTACATAGACACATCGCTACCACAAAGTCGTCGCGCAAAATCATGACTCCCCAAAACAATCCAGTCCTTACATAACTGGACTCCAAACGGGCTCCTGACTTCTGAGAAACCTCTACACATTATTTGAAAATGCCATCCATGGGACTTCGCAGTAGAGGGAGCCTCCGACGCCGAACTGCACGCCAATGCCGAAAAAGGTGTATTCCAGCCTGGATGGCTTTCTCTCTATGCTACCATGGTGTTCCATGATCTATCATTAACAGATTCAGGGCCTTCGAAAATCGCCCAGATCTGTTTGATGTGCTCAAAAACTCATAAAGTGTTCATATAACACTTCGTTTACTGTAGATTCTGCTATCTAAGCAATTTTTCGGCCGCGATGTTTCGTGCGAAGCTACTGCACAAATCTCCTCCCTGAAAAGCATCCTGCGCAAACCTGCTATACCTTGTGTGAAGGTACCCCTTGTAGGGTATAACTGTCTTAAGAAGGATCTAGTAGCAGGGCGTCGTCCTTGAAGACGGTGGCTCCAGAGGCCTGGGTGATCTCCACGCCCGCAGCAGCGAAGGGCAGCCAGAAGCAAGCCAAGATACCTTCCAGCTTCAATTCGTGAAAGAGGCTTGTACATAATTATGCGGTTTAGGATGTGGGGTTCATAAGGCTCTGGCTCAATGGTGTTGAGGTGACATGCCCTGCATCATGTTAAGCTCTCTACCTTTGAGGCACGGAACTGGGTCTGAGGCCGGCGCATATGACAAGGAACTGGACAAGGATGACTCTCAAACTGCGGAAAAAGGGAAATGCGCAATTTCAGGACAATCACTTTAAACTCATGAGTGGCCGGGCGAAGCTTTCAAGTTGGTGGATTCCTTGAGCTTGCAACCTGCAAAAATATGCAAAAGTGCAATGAGGATGCGAGTAGCGTACCCGTTGCGGAAAATTGCAAGCTCTGAGGCCTGTTGGTCATTAGTACCTGTCCAACTGGCTGTTCTTGGGGAGAGCTTTAGGAAAGCCCACAATGATTCTACTCGTCGTCCGGCACCCTGCACTCAGGGTCCTGAGAGTGGAGCGACCTCAGCTCAAAAGAAGCCCATGAGTTGACGGCTATGGGGAAAACACCGCCCGCAAAGAGGTGAAGATGGCCTGGGTCATTGCAGACAGGATTGCCAAAAGCTTTGTATTAAACAGTGTATGAAGAACCAGGCGTGGTCCGAGTCCAATCCTATGGGTGGCTTGTCCATAGCTTTGAGGAAATCAAAGGTCTTGCAGTCGTCTCTGCCCAGGTACGGGTCACAAGTCCTGCTGCCATGAGCGTGCTGGCGACCAGGGTGGCCTGAGCTGTTAGAGAAGAGCCATCAGCTCTGCCTTGCCCCTCAGAATGACACAACATTCGTTTAGAAGATACCAGGATGTCTCAGCCGAAGCTGATCCTTTGCGCATACATTCCTGCCCATGCCGATTTTCGAGAAGAGAAAGCCAGAGCAAGAGACCAAGAGAGAGAGGGGGAGAGAGAGAGAGAAAAGAGAGCCAGAGCCAGAGAGCGAGAGAGAGCTCGGAGACACAAAGAGAGAGGGGGCTTTGGTACCTACATCACGAAAAAGGCTCCGTACAGCAAAAAAACAGCTCCCGGAGATTGCCATCTCACTGGCAAGAATCAAGGTTTAATACGTCCTACAATACAACAATACAACTGTCGACATCTAATGTGAAATCTCCAGAGAGCTGAGAATGAGCACAAGGAAATGCTTCCAGTTAGCCCAAGAGGCCGTCTTTGGGATACCGGCCTGTGAGCGCCGCCATCCGAACCAGCAAATTGTGGCTAGGGGCCTTGTTTCGCGTATGTTCCATGCAGGAAGAAGCGTGCGCCGGAAAGGGGTCGGCAGTTCTTGTTTAGGCTGCTCGAGGCAAAGAAACACAACTCTAACAGGCAGGAGGTTGATTGTTGGGGGACTTTGGCAGGTGATCCTGCATAGACCCTATGGGTAATCCCTCTAAACAAGACCATTGTGAGCATGTTGAGCCAATGCATGCTGGGCTGTCGAAGGTACAAAGGCGTGGTAGGCGTCACGTCGCTGCAGTCATCACCACGGATGAGCTTCCCAAGCTGGGCACAGAAGCTGTACGTGCAAGACCTTGCCCGGATTCAGGGCGCGAACATATGGGACAACTCTTAGGTGAACAGGACGTTTAAAAACACAAAGCAACGGCTTAACATGTTTTACTTATACAAGGGTTGAGCTGAAATGCGGATAAGTGTATGTGATCGAACCCGTGGTACAACAGGGACCTCCAGATTTGGCCATTTGCTTACCTGCAAGATTTCATTGCCTTCTCTAGCACAACCTTCAACTCCCTACATCCAAGATACAGTGCCAGGGTGATAAGCACCGCGGCGAGCCAAAGCTTTACGCTGTCCGGCGAGACGTAGCTGTATCCCAGGGCATCCTTCGGGTGTGAGAAAGGTTTCGGGAGTTCGAGATGGGAACTTTGCGTTCAGTCATCTGGGAACTATTGACTTGGGGTAATGCACCTGCAGGACTCTTACGCCCCCAAACTGCTTGCTGCTCTTTGCCTTTTGCCCCACGATGCTTGGCTATGTTTTTTTCTGCTGCTCTGAATGAGTTGAGGTCTAAACATGCAGAGGTGTTCTGGCCGCTCCTCCAAAAGTACTGTAAGGCCGATCGCACCGCCAAATCAAACGGTCCACTAAGGACCTATGCCGTCTGAGATGTTTCAAAAAAGGTCTTTCCAGGACTGCAAGGAAGTGACGCTTAAGCTAATGCCCAATTCATAGGGAACGATGAGTGACCCCTAAACCCTGTCCTTTGGAAGGGCATCAGCCGTCGGTGCTGGCGCAGACAGCTTGGGCAAGTCCGTGCATTGAGCGAGGACCACATCACGTGCCAAGTGGTACAAGCGTGTAGCTCCTGCTGTGGTGGAGACATACCTGTGCGGCGGCCCCTAAGGTCTGGAGGTTCGGGGTCACCAGGCCACTGTTGAGGGGCTTGGGGGACTCTGAGTGAAAAGACTTGGCCTTGCCCAACACCAAGATCCACAACAGGCTTCCAGAACGATGCCGCAACTTCTATGCACATGCCATTGGGAAGCCGACATCCGAGATACTCCCCAGTCCAGTTCAACAATGCAAAGCTGACAAAAATACCTTGCCAGATACCCTGATCCATATTTTGAAAATACCAAATTCATCTAGACACTTTCGGAATTTCACTCCCAGCTCGCACGCGCGCGGGTGCAACTCGCACAGCTGCTTGATGGGCTCCTGAACGGCTTTTCGGGGTCGTTTTGGATGCGGGCGTCTTGTGCGCGAGGAAGGAATTGAGGCAAGAGCGCAAGATGAGGGATCTTCAAGGGATCAGCCGGGCAGAGCAGGAAATATACAAAGTGGGGCAGCAATCCTGCTACTTTGACTTGTGCGGGGTTGCAGGGCATGTCTCTGTGATTCCTCAAATGTGTGGAGTCCTGTGCGGGGCCGTCAACGGGCTTGATGATGACGTTGCCGTTGCCATTCCAGGTGGCATCCACCGTCTGGATATCCAAGTGCGAGAACGGCGACAGGAGGGCGCACGTCATGCTCGGCGGCAGTTCCATGTCCAGCAGGTTCCACAGGTCAAGCTCCACATCCAACTGTGCATCGGCCGTGCCACAGGGCATCTCCGTGATCATGGAGCCATTGCCCTTGAAGTTCCCCGCTTCTACGGCACCGGTCACAGAGATGGTCGGGGACCAGGGCGCCTGCGGTGTTGGGCACTTGGCAACCGCACTCATGCCCAGCCAGCTCTTGTGGTCATCGGAGGGGACCAAGACGCGAAGATTGCTCACCTGATCCAGACCAGACACAAGAATCTCTCTCAGGCTGAACTTGGCATCCAAGGGCAGTCGGAGCTTCGGCATGTTTGACAAGCCCTGGTCCAAGGCACTCGTGTTGTGCGCAATGAGGCCATCAAAGAAATTGTCGATCCACTTGCGAGCGAAATTGTTGAAGATGGGCGGCCAGTTGCTGTAGTACTCCGGAACCGTCTGCCGCACATGCTGCGAAGCCATGGCAGGAGAGATGCACTGGGATGGCTTCAGCTGTTGTTGCAACTGGGCATTCAACTTTTCAATGAGCGCCTCGGAGCCCGCAAAGCGCTGGATGGCGCCGGGCAACAGGGGCTCATAGACCTTGTTGAAGAGGGCCACGCCGTTGTTGAGCAGGGCTGCCAGGGAGGCCTCCCGAACAACACATGATCTGTCGGCTTCGTAGGTATTATATACCAGCTAAGCCGGATTTGCTCAGCTCACGATATAGAAGGATGACCCGCTGGGGGATAGGCCTCCAAAGCACCAACGGTCTTTGCCTGGAAGCTCAGCGGGGCAGACAGCCCACCGAACTGCACCTGAACAACGGCTGGGCTCCTATCAATGTATCAGGGAGCTCTGAGTTTGGAAGGGAGTTTCTGTTTTGGTTCTGTAAGCAGTGGCGTAGCATGAGAAAGTAAGGAATCCTCCAAAACACATCTCATTGCAGAGCCTGTTGCTTGTCTTATGCCTGATGCTGGTGGCCAAATTAATGCTTGCAGATGTGCCATCCACTGGAAAAGTCCTGAGGTGGAGGAGCCAGGGACTCGCGGGAGGCAGAACACTTGCAAGAATCCTTCAACTTTACGGCGCGCTTCTCCCACACTACAAACTCCACAGAACTTGGCAGACGAGTTGGCGCCTGAAGCTTCTTGAGCGCGGGCGCCTTCTTGAAGACACTGGTGAGGCACTCCTGGCTGAGGCTGCGGTCTCTAGCTGTAGGGCTAGGACGACTAGTTTGCTAGACGTTCTATGCCTGCGATCTGTGGTCATGTTCTGGAGAAACTGGAAACTTCTGACTATTCCCGCTAGCTTCCCCACCTTTGCCCTTCTGCAAAGAGTAAGGCCCTCCTTTCAAGCACTCCTGCAAGAAGATGCAACTGTTTACACATGCCCCATATCTTCAACCCCTCGGAATATGCAGGACGATGTGTTGCCATGGCTTTCTAGAGGCAGTGCAGCTTACAAACCATATCTGAAAGAAAGATCGTAAGGATTGCGCAGAACACATGGCATGCACCAGGTCACTATTCTGCGTTTTGCGCCCGGAGCACTTGGCTCCCGAAATTTGCCATTTTCATGGAAACGTCAAGCCTGCAAGCTTCTGTACCTCTTCATACCTCTTCCCATCACATGCAGTCACCGCCACTGTGCCCACCCCTGAACTCTGTAAACCCTGACTCCCCCAGCTCCTTTGGAGCCACCAAGAACTGTGCCAGCGTGTGCTGGCCCGGCCACTCGCTCTGCAGCACGAGCACCTCTCCTGCAGGAATTCAAGGTGGGCTGGCCTGGGACTTGAGTTAGGAAATCCTGTTTAGGACCTGGGAGTTGGGATTCGTGGGTTCAGGATCTTCAGTTCGCAGTTCAAGGTGTTGGCTGTTTATGAGTTGGGATTCAGGATGCAGGCTTTGCCCTAACTCACTCCTCAAAGCATCAATCTGTAAAGCAGCTAGGTGCAAGATGATGCAAGGTTCTAGCGAAGTACGACTCTGCAGGAAAGGTGTAAAGGCAGCGGCCACAGGAAAGCTCTGGACAACCGCTGCGTGACCTCTTTGATCTCTGTGCAGGTTGCACTGCGTTTCACTTGGGCCGCAGTCCGGTAACAAGTAACATCGTCGGCAAAACCCGACTGCGCTGTTCCCCTGACGTCCCTTTCCCGACAGCGCCACGCATCGGCGCTCCACTGGCAGCATTCGTGTGATCTGGTTCTTTCTTGTCACAGTCGTGCATGAATGTCAACCCTGGGCCTGATGAACCCTTTACCCTCGATCTACTGCTAACAGCTCAAATTGAACCTTGAACCTAAACCAACCCTCCCTCACTGCGCCCCTTCCCAGACTTCGGTGGACCTGTCACATCAAGCGAAGGCGAGAGGAGGCCCAAGTGCAGGCTCATTTCCTGCCTGAGTTTCACGGAGGCTCGGAGTAGTAGTCTATAAAAACCCAGATGTATTAGCGGGTGGTTTTGGGTGGAGGGCATTAAAGATTAGCAGCCGCAACCGAAACTACAGACATCAGGAAGTGGAAAGAAACTCAAGAGCACGCGTCATCTCGATAGCGAGTGTGATGGTGCTCATGTCCGGCCTGGGTCATTCTTGGGGTTCAGGTGTAGATTTGCTGAACGTAATTCATTCATCATGTAGGGAACCCTGCAAGAGCTCGGCTCTTTGGCATTTGTTGCTGTTGAAGAATGCGGTCCACAAAACGGGCCCCAGGGCCTCTGCTTTTTCTCACAGTCAACCTGACATGTGCTCAGCAGAAGTGAGGCACACGCAGCACGTACTTGGAGAGGAAAGGATCCCTGGTAAGGACCAGTATATTCCAAAACATTGATATCATTTCTATGCTAGCCATTTAAAGTTACCAGAGGCTATGACTTGGGCATCTTCCTGCTATGAGTGAGTTGTTGCTACGCTGCGGCACATTTCGGCCCTGAACCCTGCACCCAATGTGTCCCGCTCTTGCACTCTACATGCAAACCTCGTCCTGCCTCAACTCACTTAAGAATTCGTTTTCAACTTTCATGAGTCAGCGGTTTAGGTGATTTTTCGACCTATGTATTACATTAACTTGACATAAACCATTGTCACGATCCAATGCTAGCAGCGTCTCCACTGCTTTCATGGTGCCAGGGTCTCTCAAAATCTATCACCTGCAAATCCTAGATCCCTCGTATGCCCGAAATGGAACCCTGCTTCTTAAAAAGTCATATACCAAAGGATAATCAGGTTGCTCCACTGAGGCCTGTGGCAGCTTCGTCTTCAGGTCAATGGCCTCCACCTCTACTGGGCAGGAGCGTGGCTAGACGACATTCTCTGGAATGCACAGCTTTCGGGTTGCTGGGTCTTCCTGCACCATTACGAAACTGTATCCCTAGCATCTCAGGTGACCGTTGAAGTTCGAAGGCACGCTGCATGATCTTGGGCCAGTTTTCTCCTATCGTTTAATGCACCAGGTGCCTTCACATGGACGTCCACTCCCAGGCCGAAAGCAGGGCGATCCTTCGTGCCCCAGCTCACCTCGCGCTGTCCAAAAGTGTATTTCAAAGATCCATGCAGCACACCTCCTGCCTAGATGTGCCACCTTTTCGGAGACCCGGCTGAAAATGCTACACCCCCAGGGAAAAGCTTTTATGTAAATCTAGGTTCTACAATAACTGGAAAACCCCTCATAGGTTGCTTCACCTGCGCCGCTTGAACATCCCGAGGTTTCGTGACCTGAAGGACAGCATCGTCGGAAGTTCGAGATACCCCCGCTGAACTGGATCCAACCCTCCTGGACACAATCCTGATGTTGAGATCCAGCTCACCTTCATGCGCAGGTCGTTGGGGTCGACGGCTTGCACAGGGGTGAAAGCGGACATGCCATCGGCTCCCTCGATCACTGCCTCCTTGGACCATGTGACAAAAAGGGTCCCTCTGAGAGAGTCCACACATATGCAAGGAAACTTTGAGTGGTATATTTACTTAAGAAGTTGGGTTCCCATGCAATCTACATCTGCTGACATCTGCGCACAGCATCTATGTGAACTCCTCCAAGCATGACATCTAATCAAGACCGTTGCAGGAAGCCAGTTAGCACACACCTCATTCTACAAGCCTCTGTCTCCCGATACTGCTTGACCTGCATTGGCTTTGTGAAGCCTACACATCCACAAGCCCATGACTCCATGGCCGCAGCCATACACTGAACCCCCATATCCTGGATGTCCTAACATGACTCTGTGTTGTGATGTGGGCCCAAGACACGCGACACAACCACCCTCCCCATAGAATTCCTGAACCCCGAGCACTTCAACCCCAAACCCACATTCCCCTACCCTCCATCCTAGACCCCAAACCCTGAGCCTCTAAGTCCTTAAAAACCTAAGCCCCTTGTTTCCCCGGAGTCCTTTAAGAAGGCCTGGACCTTCAGCTCTAAGCCCGCATCGGGCTGCTGAATAGTGCCTCACTTCCATTTAATTCCCCAACATTGTGAAGGGGCCAAAGCAGGTGTCATAAAAGGGTGTTGCACAGGGATTGGTACAGGCATATCGAGATATGCATATGTGTATGTGCAAGCAAGTACATTCGATAGTGGGTATGTAAGTCGTGGTGATACAAGGTCTCAGAGTTTTATAAAATCAGGGGGTCCATCTTTGGGCGACCGTAGGATCATACATGTTTGGCTCTATACTATATCAGCTACGATGAAGACTCCTTTCTTGTAGAAACCCGCATCACATTTTGAGTCTCAGAGTGGAGCATTTTTGTAGATGTAAGGTAGCTTCGCGGGATATGGCTGGCCTACAGCTAAGGCATATCCATATCTGTGCAAGTGCCCATCTCAACTTAAAGAACGAAGGGGACGGTATGGCACTCGGCTTCAAGAGGAGAAACCCGCATTAATGATGCCAAATTTTACTGAATCTTAAGAAGGCTTCAAGCTGTCAAGTACTCGGAGTATCATGTATGTGCAAGCTCCCCACACCTTCGCGAGGATCCCATTTCAGAATATGCCTTTGGAAAGGTCCACAATTGAATGGATTGCCTGAAAGAGTTATCAAATTCTCGAAGCAACCATGACTTTCATTGAAGGGCCAGGTGCTGACCGCGACTGGGGTGGCAGGGCCCGGGATGGAAACGGACTGCGCGCCCTGGCCAGTCAGCACGCCAGAACGGTGGTTTGCATACCGTATAGGAACACTTCTCGTGTATAGAAAACACGCAGAAGAAACGACAGGTGTGCTTCAAAACCTGCAACTCAACAAATTCAGGGAGCGGCCGGGACTGTTGAGGGCTTAGGTGGTTAAGAGGTCCGTACAGGCTACTTACACGATCCGATAAGGCTTGATGAAGCATCCCCCCAGGGGACACCTTGATTGGTGCATGCGGCCCAGCAAACCCAGAGCACCGAATCTTCCCCCGCTGGAGCATGCACAAAATCATTCCATGTCACAGCTGAAGCCTTGTCACTCACAACGGAATACCCTAAGCCTATATGTTCAACATCATATTCTAAAATCCAAGACCCCACCCAAACCAGAATAACTGAATCCTGTAGTACTTCAGTAGAGCCTCCGCAACGAATACTTCCAATTTCCGTATACAGTATAAATCTAGATAAAGTCGAGAGGATTGCAACCCAACATCCAACAACGTGACCACCATACAACACACTCCAGGTGCCAAGCCCTCATCTTTTCCAACATTTATAAGCCTGCAACTACAAAACACAGCTGAAAATCCTGAACCCAGGGTCCTACACTGGAAGCCCTAAGAAAACCTAAGCCCTTGACTCCAACACCCTAATGAAATCCCTAAAAACTTCAAAGCCCCCAAACTCCCCCTATACCCTCAAAACCCTCAACCCCCAAAGCCTTTCAATGCCTAAAGCAGAGCAGGCCTCGAATGCCCAACGGAGCGCCTGGTCAAGTCGGTCGGGGCCCACCACGTCGTCCAGGAGCCAAGACATCCAGCTCACCTGAACCACAGTTTAAACTCCTAGTATCCCCCTTAATACCCCCTGTATAATCCCCGTGATTATTCTCTTCGTGGGAAAGACTGTGGCCGAAATGAAAATGATATCTTACTCTCTCACCCATGGAGGAAGGCATCACGCTCCACACTACTTTTCACGTGGGCTCACAGCTTTTCTCATGCTAAGAGTTTACACATTGTTTACGCGGGTTAAGTTTAGGGTTTACAAGGGTATCTTGGGTTTTGGGCTCAAAGGGTTATGTAGAGGCAGGGTGATCTAGGGTTTAGGGCTTCATGGGGTTCAACAAGTTTATGGCTGAAGGGTCACGGTCAGAATTACATAGGCTTTGGGCCTGTGGGCTTCGAGGGCTCGGTGCTACAGGAATTAAGGACGTCAGGTTGAGGGTTTCCGGATGACACTTGGTTTGCAAATCACCCGGGACAATTGGGCACTTCCGAGATTAATCAAAGCCCCGCTTGAATCTGAAATAATACCGTCTTCGCTCAAGGTCTGAGATGGGCCCATGCTGTCAGGCATCCATCACTTTCTAGAAGCCCAAACCCACAACAGCGTTTCATCCATGTCTTCCGGAATCCTATGAACTTCCAAGCCGCGGAAGCATCATGTGTCCAGTCCACAGTCTTGCCGCTGTCTTGGGCAAGCCTCAGGGGGACGTGCCACCCTCAGCATCATGACAAGAAAAGCTGACGGAAGTGAACTCTACATGTTTTTCAAGAATACATCATCCTTGCATAATGACAAGACTGTCTGAACAACTGATGCAATCATGACTCCAAATGCCGATGTCGATGCTGCTTCGGTCCCGCCCATAAACATACAATCCCTCTCATTGGGCTGAAAGAACAATAGTGTAGGTGATGATGCTAGAAGGAGCAGCAGCAATTAAGACACCGAAAATGGTACTCTTGTTGAGTTTGTGTCGGCAACAGTGGCTGAAACTAACCATGCCGCAGCAGGCATCTCAATAATAGGGCGTATTGGGTCATAATATGAAGCGACAATGCTTGCGATGACAGTCATGTTCTGAAATATCAATGCTAAAAAAGGCCTGTGCCTGAAGTGGAGGTTAGACTATCCCTATCAGTAGCATACGCGTTTCTCTCTCACACCCTTTCACACCCCATAACGATTGCATCAACCCGCTTAAGGGCACTCCATCAACCTTCACAGAACGATCAAAGCCTGCGCTCGAAGCGGAGGTTGGCATGCGGCAGTGCTGGCTCCACGGGAGCTGCGGCCTCCTCAAGCATGTCATCCATCACGCTCTCGAAGGTGACCTGGATTGCCGGCTTTCAACTTTGAAGCGATCCAGCCCTACAAGAACTTCGGAATGAAACGCTCCTTGCTACACAACCATCCACATAAGACTTGCATGTGCATCACGCAGTTTCATTCTAGGTTAGAGATCAGATGTCCACGGTTCTATAGGTATTTAAGCTGCACCCAGGGACATGAAGGCTCTCATCGGTCCTTTCGGCCAGCTCCACAGCACTGCTTTGCAGCATGAGGTTGGTGAGGGCTGTGGATCCTGGAGGCAGCCTCAGTTTGCCAATTTAGGATTTTTGTCGACAGCCGTCTTTTTGGCTAAGTTGTCCTGCTGGGGGCTGGGCATTTTACTTGCAGGAACAAAAATCCAAACTATTCACCTGGGCATGTGTGAAAATTCAAGGTCCCTTCATTTTTTGGGCAGCGTTGCACTAAGAATGCAACACGTAAGGGCGCGTACAGAAACAGGCTGCAAGGACAGCTTGCTGCGCATCTCACCTTCTGTGGGACCTTGATCTGACTCTAACACCGAAGAGAACCCCCACAACCCTCGGGAAATCTTCCCAAGCAGACATCATGCCGTCTCGATGATGGTTATGCTGATGCTGGTGTTGTTGATGCTGGTGATGATGGAAGAGATCCTAAAGATCCGTGCAATGTGCCCTGGGTTTGAACAGCCCTATAACCTTACCTGGCCACAAAATCTCAGTGAGATCCTTGTGTAGCAGCAAGAATTACAGCTAATGCGTGTGACTGATACAGTATCATCTTAATTTTAGACAAGGGCATTTAACTGGAAAAAAAAAGCTCCTAAAGGCCAACCCCGGTGCATGAGGTGGTTGAACGCGGCCAACTTCTTTGAGAGTGGGCCGGCAGCCATCTGCTTCAGCTGAGCACCTACTTGTTCGAGAACTCTTTGGAATTCGGGATGCAGGGCAGACAGGATCGTGTGTTGGGCAAAGGGCTGAAGTCCTGGCGTGTAGAGTCCAGGGACCCCGGTTTTAGAAGGTGTCCTGCTTACGCAATCCTGACAAAGTGTGACCAGCCAGCTAGTCGCCGTGCTCCGAAAAAGCTCTTTCATTGGCCTGGTGGTGAATCTCCCCTCCTTGAACTTTCAACTAAAGACGCCTGACCCTTACTGGAATAAGCTACTTCACCATAATTGTCATGCATATTCTACTTTGTATGCACAGAAGCAGGCCCTATAGGGTTCAAGCCGAAAACATGCAGGAGCCCGCAAGACTACTTCTTTGGTTAGCAGTAATGTTGATAATGAATTTCCGTGATAGCCGCATGGAAAACCAACAAATGCGAGTGCTACAACGGCGGCAGTCACACAGGAAAGCAAAGCACAAGAGAACCAGACTTCCTTTTGCCACACGAGGCGCAGGCTTGACTGATCGCTTGCTTCCTGATCAGCAGGGAGATCCTCAGATCCAGAAAATGGAGATATAATGAACACAACACACCTAGGGCTCTGAGGTTTTCAGGCTGTAGGGTAGTAATTGCTGTCTCCGGAGACCACGGAGACCAGCAGGGACCAATGCCCTACAATTGAACAGACGAAGCCCTCGTAACCCCGGCGAAGCCCAAGGGACAAAGGCGGTACAGTAGTTGAAGGCCTTACACTAAGCATCCACACATTGACTTGTAAGTGGCTGTCACCAAGTTGCTTCTAGGTCCCCAATTTAAAGCAAATGTTTGGGAACCCAGGGTCGGGGTTCTAAACAGGTTCACGATCTTGGTGAGAATGGATCCGTCGAAGGAAAGCTTGAAGTCGATGTCGGCCGAGCATTTCGAGGCATCCACGGACCATGGGACATTCCTCAGTTGACATTTTTAAGCCCTTTCAGTTATTCAGGGATACTCAGAAATGGCCTATAAAAACTTCTCTAACGCTGGGCTTGAGAAACTCCCAGTGTTTTTGATTTCCTGGTATCCGGACCCAGAAGCCTTGTTTGTGAGACCGAAGGGCTAGGGAGTTTTATCCCAAAAGGCACTCCGAAGGGGATTGCATATGGAGCCTAACTTCCAAACATGCTACTTGAATCAACATTTCCTGTGAACGTGCGAAGGGGGAGGAAAAACTCAACCACGGGGCTCCATGGGCCCAACCGAGCACAACATGAACATGATGTCCTTCGCCGGGCGCGCTAGAAAAAGAGCCCGCTCCTTTCAGTTGTCCCCAATTCTATGGTCCTTTACCCCAACGAGCCTCCCATGCACAAGCACATGCACTGGGCTGCCAAGCTTCTTGTCAAAGCTGCCGCCCTGGAGAACTACAGTAGCCGAGGAAGCGGGGCTGCTCTCCACAACCGCCTGCAGGACTTTCAGGGGATGTTGCTTTGGGGCCTAGGGCTTGGGAGCTGACATTTACGTTATTGCTTGGGTATTGCCCCCAAGTAACAGCTGGATAATAATTATAGTATGGTTATAAAATAGCCCTTCATAGGACCCCAATATAGACTGTTACTGGGTGGGGGCAGTACCCAAATTATTGCTAGGGTTTGGAATCTAGGCTTCAGGCCTGGGCTAGCATGCGGGGACTCTGACTTTTGCTCACAGGTGTTTCAAAATCCTTGCAAGCTTTGCGGCAATGCCCCTTGCTGTGAAGGGAAGCCGTTTCGCAGCACGGCTCTGGACATTACTTACCTTTAGTTAGCGGGGAATGAAGGATTGGATCTTTATAGTAGCCCCTATATAACGTACGATAGTATTCTCCATTTTCTTTTCCATTCTGTCATTCCCAGCTAAACAAATAATCTTAGTGTTCTGAGCCTTCAGGTCTCCAGAACCACTCACAATGGCCAGGCCATTGTACTCGAAGTGCCCGGTGCCTTGGCTGCTTTACTTGCTGGGCCGTCGCCAGAGAAACTACTGTGGAACCTAAATCCTAAACCCTAAAGCCCCTAACCTAAAGGGTATGACTGATAAGGTGGGGACCCATTCCTCCATTGACCTACTAGGACCTTGTCAATTCGGACGCATCCTGTGCAACTTGAACCAATTCATCTGTACACCCACTCCCTGCCACCCCATTATAGTCAATAGCACATAATGTGACACGAGCTTATAACAGCGCGTGTTGTGCGTTTATTTGGGGAGTGGGCGGGAATACGTACTGGTCGAACGTGCGCAAGCAAAAACCTACTGTAAGCCACAGCAAACGCACTGGCAGTGGCAACCGGACTCACAGGCCTTCTTTCTCGTTGCTCGTAGCGCTTTCTGCAAAGGAGAATGACTGACGCTAGTTGCCAGAAAAAGGCATGCTGAGCTGTTCGAAAAATCTTTTTGACTTTCTGCCCATGGAAGGGCACCTGAGCTAAAGAGTGGGGCTCAATCAAGCTGTGAAGCCTTATGGGAAAGCGGCAGAGGCTTCAGTTCTGTTCTTTAGTCATTTCTGCTCCGGCTAGGTGATAAATCCACATGTCATTCATGAGCCTTGGCACCGGAGTGTTTGAGGATTTCCGTATGCAGCGGCTAATACAAAGCACTATAGAGTGGTGCGATGAGGAGCCTCTTGGTACTCCACCGTCCCTACCCTAAAGGAGTTAACCTTTGCCAGGGTGGATTGGCACTGACGGTCTCCGAGCAGTCACTCCATATACATAATCTTCAGGCAGCGTTGCTTTTTTTCAAGCGAGAGGCCTAACAAGTTCCAGGTTAATCTTTTAAAGGCGCTCTTCAATGTGTTTCGGATTTGGGGC